TATGATATTTTGGGATAAATTTGAAAGTTAATTTGTCCATTTTCGAAATTTTCGCTAAATCTAGGAACAAAAATTGAAGCAAAAATATAACTAGTATTCGGCGAATAACGTACCGAATATTCGGCGAATATTTGGTATGCCAAATACTTGCTTAAAAGTACGAATACACGAATATTCGTATTCGCCGAATACGTACACAAGTTGAATGCAAATCAAAACAATTAAGAATTGTTAACATCATTAATTCGACAGATAGTTGGAATTTGAAGGTCATTTAAACACAGTTAAGTTGATTAATTGCAGTGATCTAAAGGAAGTCACATGAAAATTTCTTTTAATCAGCAAATATTCAATGTCACAGCAAATTAACATTAAATAAATGCTTTTAGTATGTTCTTTGTGAAGATAACTTATATTTGCAATTTAATATGCTTAATGCAATATTCATGTACTTATTTGTGTACGTTTTATAAGCAATTCTTAATGTCAAATTTGTTGCATTTACACGCTCATCAATTATTCATGATGGCTTGAAATTTAGTAGACTTTCAACTTTCAATCTAGCTGGAATATTTTAGTAAATGTCATGTGGTCGAAAGTAAATTATTTTCTGGTCAATACGTCCTTAAACGGTTTCAAATATCTTGCTGAAGATGACAGACCTGCATGGAAGAAAATTTTGGCCAGAATATTTTGGAAATTGATCATCGCTACAGCAATTTATTTAATGAGTTCGCTTTTATTTGAAACGATAAGTCAATTTAAGAAAGATTCAACGACTATTAATTTGAACACAAATTACTATGAATGGGAAAATAATTATCCAGCTATATCTATCTGCATGGGGAAGGCTCAAAGTACCGATGGTTTGCAGAGCCACATGATTAAATATTGGAAGACGATGAATATGACAACAGTTGCAAAATATACGTACTTCAAGGACATGCGAGCTTTACTATTTCTCAGTGCTACAGATACATTTGAAAAGATTGGAGCTTCAAATGGTATTTGTCATAAATACAATTCGACATGTGGAATTGATCCAGAAATTCTCCGAAGTATTCTCGTCACTAAAAAATGCGAAGATTTTATAACTGAAATTAAGTTCCGAAACAAGAAGTATGAATGTGATGAATTGTTCAAGTTTCATATAACTGAGATTGGTTATTGTTTCACTGCTAACAGTTTGTATTTCAACGAACCAGAGAACCTGAAAAACTTTGATACTCTCCCAATGAAATATTTCAACCTTGATTTGAACAACCGCAAGTTGGAAATTCATTACACTGATCATGAAATTGATTCCTTCAATATATTTGTGCATTCACCAGAAGAAAATCCCGATTTTGCTATGACGGGACATTCTTTGAAAAAATCAGGCGCTAACAGTTATTACGCTTACAGAACTGTTGAAATTGAAAACCAGCCAGAGGTTTATGATGAAGTTATTTCAGCACGTGAGTGCAGGTTTCCATTTGAATATCTTATCGATGACGAATTAAACATAAAGCTACCGTACAGCATATCAAATTGTCGCTTTTTGGAGAGAGTTAAGAAAGAAATCGAGAAATGCAATTGCACTTTACCTATCGGGATTCTACCAGATCATTTAACACGTTGCAATATCACGAGGTTTCAATGCGCTAAAGCTTGTTACGAATCATTTAAGAACCCAAAAGAATGTGAAGTTCCATCATGTTTGGCCATGGAAGTCGCTGAGATTGGACATTACGAGATGGATAGTGAAGATGGATTTAATAAATTCGTAATTGAAGTTCTCAACAATCCAACACTCAAATATGTTCGACGAGTGAAGCATACAATATTGGATAGAACTGGTAGGAAATAATTAAATTTATTTATATCCTCATAATTTTTACAATTTATTCCTCAAATAGTTCAGATTGGTGGAATCATTGGACTTTTTTTCGGAGCATCAATTTTGAGTGTTATTGAAATTTTCTATCTAATTGTGGTTGCATTGAAACTGAAGAAAACATAAATATTTTCAGATTCTGCTTTAACTTTAAGACTCTGTTACATAACTAATAATATTTAAGATATTTGAAGTTCTGATTTAACTTTCTTTTTCTTGTCATCGGGAAGATTATCAACCTCAGCTTCAATATATTTGTTTAAGTCATTTAAAGGACGATAATAGTTATGAACAACTTGAGAACCAAGAAACATTGTAAATAAAGCTGTACACGAAAATCTCAAATATTGCCCTAAAGTGAGTCCAGCTGGTAATGAAAACATTCTAATGTGTAGTGTGAAGCTTCTCTTCAATCAAATTTTTAGCTTGACGTCGCTTAAAAGTATCGTAGAAGTTTGTCTTTCCTACAGTCCTATAATTAAAAAAACCGAGAAAGTTTTCTACTGAATAATTTTTTTTATGTTGCTCAAATTACCAGTTGATCATAGAAAATTCGAGTGCAGCTCCAAGAACAAAGAAAATAGGTAGAAATCTATACGGTCCAAAACGTTTTCCTGGCCACTTATCAACTACTTTTTGTATTATTGATAAATTGGGTCGCTTTCTCATGACTTAAAACTTCTTGTTGACGAAAGTTGCAGGCCCCGCTTGATGTTTTCGATAAATATTCGTTAAGCAGCTGAAAGTGAATCATAAAATTTTTACAAACTTTCAAATCTGATTCTTCATTTCTATTGTAAACGTTGGTCGCACAAGATATTGTTTAAAATAATCTTCTTTATTGCACATCCGATATAAAGAAATTGAAATAATGGTTTTGTGATAGCATTCGTGAAGAGAAAGAAACTAAATTAAAAGTTGAATTATATTGGGTGACACCTAAACACAAAAGATTTTTATAAAAAGTGAATAATTCATATTAATAAGACATCCTCTGGTCTTCAAAGTTTAGTTTCGTTTAAATATTTTGTCAGGTAAGGATACGATATTAGTTTAAAAATACATCTGTGAAGTAGAAAAATATTTCAAGGACCCTTCCTTATCGTGACTCATCCAATTCAAAAGTTTTCAGATAATCAACTGATTTGTAAATATGCCTGGACCTCCACCACCACCGCCACCAATGATGGCCCCAGTTAAAAAAGCATTTGTACCGCCTGCTTCTGGCGGTGGCGATATGAGAAATGCTTTATTAGGTCAAATTCAGAAAGGAGCACAATTGAAAAAAGTCAAAACTGTCGATAAAAGTGGTCCGATTGGAGCTGGTAAAGTTGCTGGTGAAGCTCCAGCTCCGTCACCATCGAGATCAAGAACAAGAGGACCTCCATCGAACAAATCATCACCAGACACTTCCAATTCGTCACCTGTTAAACCTCCAGGTGGATTCGCAAATCTTACAGATGAACTTCAATTCAAGTTGACGTTGAAGAAAAATAAAAATTCACCAGTGAAGGAGTCAAGCATTTCACATGAGATAAAAGAGGTCAGTAGCTTGTTTGTCACGAACAACGTGATGATGACAAAAATAATTTCACAACAAAATCCATGCGATGGTCTTTTAAAAATATTCTCGTAATATAAAATTTATTTTTAGACAACGCCTCCAGCATCGTCCAATTCTTTTGTGAACGACATAAAATCGAAACAAAGGTAAAAAGAATTAAAAAAATTATTTTATGTTTTGTTGCTTCATTCGTTGTGCTTAATTGCAGTGTCATTACTGCTCATCATTCTCCATCGCCTAGCTTATCAGATGCAATTGCAAACAAGTCATCTTTGTTTACTAAATCATCAGCCGGTACTTCACCGACTGTTCTCAATCCCCCTAAAGTCATCAATCATGGAAAGCCAAATTTGGCACCAAAACCTCCACCTCAGCTTAAATTGTTGGCTAGTGGCAATAGTAACTTAAATGGTGATAGCAATAGGAAAATTGTCATGCGACATCAGTCGATGAAGTCGCCAAGGTACTCAGTCCATCATCGTTATTAAAGCTTGCGTGATAATTTTACTTTTCCTATTTTTTTAAGATCCCCTCCAGTTGGAGTTTCACCTTCTGGTCCTTTCAATTCTGATAATCATTTCGGCACAATGAGGATGAATGTTAACAATCAACAAAAGATTCAAGATGCGTTAAATTTACAAACGCCAATGATGAAAACTGGTGCACAGCGACCAACAAATAAGCCACCGCCACCACCAGTTCCCAATCGTCAGCCTGGCACAAACTTGACAAATAATCATGCAAAATCGACAAATGCTTTGAACTTGTCGTCGAATGAACAAAACTTGTCAGCACCAAGACGATTGCCAAGTTCGGGTTCTTCGAATAACATCAGCAACATTGAGCGCAGTGTTGATGTTGCAGATTCAACAGTACCGCCACTTCCTCCACATCGAGTAAGTTCACAAGGTCAGCTGCGAGGCCAAATGTCGCCTGTCATACTAGGAAATAATCAAGCACCACCTGAAGTTCCACGGAGACATTCATCAATGAGAAACAGTATTGAAAACGGTGCCAATGGAAAACATCAAAAGTCAAATTCAAATCAATCAATAACGAGATTAGTCGTCGATCTTGAAGCAAGATATGCTCTTCTTTTTCATAATGTGTCGGAGTTTCCATCGCCAAGGCCATTTATGAATGTTGAAAAGTCGTATCCTTCGAGAGCTATCAGACAAGCAAATGGAATTTAATTCCAATGTGACACTTACCAGTCTTTGGGCATTTCAGGAGGTTGCAATAGTATTTTACATTATTAAGCTCTTAATTACTTTCTTTTCCCAATAATCAACAATTAAGATTTACCCAATGTTGGTCTGGATAAGCTTTTCTTATTATTAAAATATTTTTCCAAGTTTTTATATCTAAAATTCGAAATTTCTTTTTAACAATTTGAGCTTGATTTTCTTTGAAAGAACCAATTGTTATGATTTTCTTATCCAACCAACCAAAACAAGATTTATCCATAAATGTTCAGAGGAGCATAAAATTATTTTATCTTAATTTACCAAAGTCTTAAAAATATTCACAATTTAATTTTTCATTCTTTTCAGTTTTATCGTTTTCAAAGAAATGTGCAAAAATATTTAATAACGAAGGGATGAAAATTTAATTTTACCTTTTTAAATTATGTATCTAAACTTTGGAAAATGGACAGAACTTTAGTCTTATCAAATTTTGATTGATTGTCAGAAAAAACTTTTTGAAAACGAATTCATAGATACTTAATCAAGAGACAGATTTAATCAGTCAAAACACTTTATTAATCTGTAAAAGACGTTTTTTTCGAATTACTAATTGAAAAATGTTAAAAATTGTAACAAAGTCAAAACGACAAATGATTATCTAAATAAGAAGAGTCTAATAAAGTATATTTAATTAAATGTATTGTGCATTGTCATTTGAATATCGTTCAACGTTTGCTCAATTGAACGAGCATCCTTTTTCAATTCAAGATGAATACATTTTGTTTTCTTTGACTTTGATGCTCTCGTTGCTCTCTACCATCTGAATGCTGTCATGAAACAGTTGGAATAATAGATAAGACAGATTCTACTTTGAATTCTGACACTTAAAAATAATTGCACACTTCTTTCTGTAAAAACGAATAATTAAAAAGGATAATCACTGATTAAATAAACCCTAATTGCCTATAACTCGAACATTTATTAATTGATTTGCTGCTACAAAGATAATCATTTCTTTTTCATGTATTTTAAATATTTCGATGAATTGAATTTATCATCAACTTCAGCCTCAATTTTAACTTTTCTTTTAGGTTTTCTTTTGTCGAGACGAATTTTTCTTTCAGCATCTGATAGTTGACTAATATCAATTGGAAGCTTAATTATTGCTCGAGGTTCATGGTAACGAGTTCTATAAGTGCTACCATCAGAATTCACGATAACCGTTCTAAAAAAACAAAATTTATATTTCTTCAATAAATATGTTAAACATTTATTTACGGGTAAGTTCTAGCATAAACTGCTCGATGAATTTTTGTTATGGAAGCAGTTGATGAAGATACAGATCGAATATGACTGTATGAATTTTTCAGAAGCTTTGAAAATACTTCGAGTCCTGGTTTAAACATGTTGCAATCTGAAATTTTATAAAATTTTAAATATTGCGTTAAGTTGGGGACTGAAACTTTTCGCATCTTTTTTGAACTTGTGATTCTTTTTTAAGCAGCAAAGATGGGAAAAGTTCAATAAAATTACTTGGACTTATACACCCCTTCATTGTTTTGTATACCCCAATTTTTAGCTCACTCACAGAGCAGATTCACTATAACTTCAACTTAGTCGGGTGTATTTTTCTTTTCCCAACATATATTTCGCGAAAAAACTTTAAAATTCAAAGATAAGTGAACATTCGTATGCCAAATTATTCGAGAGTCTGTGTCAAATTAAAAAATACATAAAATTTGTTTATATATATTTCACAACCTTGTAAGTCATCCCAGATAACATAATAACAGGTAAAAACTCGTCTTCTTCGCTTTTATCGGACTTCTTTCTTTCTTTTTTTTGAGAAATAATTGAAAAATAATAAGCCAAACAGACATCATGTTGAAAATATAAAAATATGTGGAAGAAATCAAATGTTCGGTCAGTTTATATTTAAGCTCAAAGATAAAATTCCAATTAGATTCAAGTTCACACAGGAATTTACATGAAAGAAGAAAAAATGATAAGTGCAAAGTCTGAGTGAGCTTAATTGTCGAGATAAAAAAGGTGTTTAATCATATTAAAGCCTCTACTAAAGTAATTAAGCGATATTGATCCAAATAGGATTTTAAACGCTTTGTTGCAAAGTAAAAAAATGAAAATTTTTGTTGAGATAGTTGTGAAAATAAGAAGAAATGTGAACCCAATTTTTCCGCTGATTTAAATGTGTTAGTGAAAGATGAAAATATCTCAAATTTTCATCCATTTAATATTGTGAAAATATTTTTTACTCATTTTTCGGTACTCGAAAACTCGATAATCAGTGTCTTTTAATAATTTAATATTGTACTTTGTTGTTTCTACTAGGGTTTGTGTTGATACAAGAGAAGTAAATATCAAAAATCATCTTTTTGATAAATAGTGAAAGAGAAAAATAAGAAAATAATTTGTGGAAAACAATGAAAACATTCCCACCATCATCGATAAAAGCCTTGCTTATCAATCGATGATCATGAATCTTTTACAAAATTGTGGCCCTGGACCGGGTCCACCAACCTCATCAATTCAAACATCTCAAACAAACGGATTACCTTATCAATTATCAAATGGACTGTCATCATCAAGCAATACATCAAGTCGATGTTCAGATCGACTGGTTACTGGACCGTCATGTAAAGCTCTTAAAACTGCTGTCTCAGCTTTATATTCTGTCGATGATTTTCATCGTGAGAAAATTGGCTCGGGATTCTTCTCGGAAGTTTACAAGGTGAGCAATCAAAATCTTTTTCATAGCTTTAAAAATATTTCTCCCTGGCGTTCATTCAAAAAATATTGTCGCTAAGAATTCGTAAACAACTCTTTCGAGACAATTCTCTTCTTACGAGATTACTTTCACGAATCATCATTTCAGTCTTTAAAAACCAATTTACTTACACGCGCTTTAAATTCATTAAAACCTTGTGGAACGAAAGAATTTCGTGCTGATGATTATTTGTAGGTAGTTCATTTCAATTGAATTTGTTTATCGTGATTATTGATAAAGGTTACTGATAAAAAAACTTAACTGCCACCTGAATTATTCAACACAGCTGACATTGAAAACAATTAACGAGAAAGAAGTTCATCGTCACATTTCTCAGCATCGACAGTTCTTAAACCTCCGAATGTNGGCAGAGAAGAAAACTAAAAAGTCAAATATAAAATTAAATTCAAACTAAAAATAATATCGAATTAAGCAAAATATTAAATGGCGCTTAAAATGTTGACTTTTCTCTATGTTATTAAGAAGAATCATTAAAACGTAGGAATGTGAATGAGATTGCATGTCAAATAAATCGCTTTAAACGTTCATAGCCAAAATAAAAAGAACAAAAACGTTACTGAATAAATCTTCTCTGAATGAAAATAATTTCTCGCCATACAAACAACAAGAAAATTCGTAAACAATTCTTTCGAGACAATTCTCTTCTTACGAGATTACTTTCACGAATCATCATTTCAGTCTTTAAAAACCAATTTACTTACACGCGCATTAAATTCATAAAAACTGTGGAACGAAAGAATTTCGTGCTGATGATTATTTGTAGTTCATTTCAATTGAATTTGTTTATCGTGATTATTGATAAAGGCTACTGATAAAAGAGCTGAACTAAACTGCTACCTGCATTTTTCAACACAGCTGACATTGAAAACAATTAACGAGAAAGAAGTTCATCGTCACATTTCTCAGCATCGACAGTTCTTAAACCTCCGAATGTAAACAAGCATCGAACAGAGAAGGAGTGTTTCATGTTCTATTTCCGAAGCGTGGAGCGATTTAATGACATGTAAAAACTACTCATCTTCATTCACTGACGATTTATGATCCTTCATTGTTTGTGTCAACGGCAAAAATGAGAATGCGGTAGCAGTAAATAAATTCCCAGATTGACCGGTCATTGAATTGCACAACAAGAAAGCCCGTCTCGATTGATTGGGTCCAATGAATCGCAAATATTTGAGCTAAATCGGTCGTTGGAAGTTTCATGCTTTGAGATTTAGACACGCTTCTGATCGATTCGAATATTTTTCAGTCAAAACTCTGATTGAAGTTGTGAATTATCGGAACTTTTAACATCGAAGAAACTATTTCGGAACAGTGATTGTTTGTTGTTAATTGAAATTCAAGTTCTGTTTGTTACATTTTGCATCGTCATGTTTACAAACGGGCTAACTTAATGCATCAAGAATGGAGGGGAACAGAAAACATCATTTCCGCTTTGAGCTCAGATTTATTTTTATTCATTCTTCATTCATCATAATCAGCACTTCGATTCAAGAGATTTGCAGAGACTTTTCATTCCCTTGGATATTAATAAACAATTTTTAGTGATAAAAATAGAAACTCGGCTGACAAATTCTTTCCAACGCCCACACTCGTCCATTTTCCCATTTCAATGGCGCTCAACAAAGACGACACAACGAAGAAGCTTCAGAAATATTAATTATGTGAGGCGCGTCTCACTTTGAAATGAAGATCGATGCGAAAAACAAAGATTCAACTTCTTTAAACTTTTCAATTTAATTCAATCTTTTGTAATCATGAAAAATGTTTTCGTTGACTTTTCGCGACCGTCACATTGATATGAATATTCGACTATCAAATCAATCTCAATTCAAATGATTATCAGACTTCCAATGGGTCGTCAAAAGATATGGAACTGATGTGATAAACAAACCACTAACTACAAAGTCATGTTGAGTGAGTGAGTGTGGAGAATTCTTCCTTCATTCACATTTAATGTGGAGTTGAGTTGTGTTGCTAAATATGCTGACAATGCCATTCGGCAGTCAATTTATTGAACTCAGTAGAGTGAGGTGAATCGTTTTATTGTTAATTTAATCAATTTATGACATAAAAAGCTTCTTTCATTGTGTCCACAATAATTTCTTGATTATCTAACAGCTGAAGAGTTCGTAATGAAAATTGAGTTGATAACAATTCGAATTTGATAAGCGATACAATACAAAAGACGCCAAGATTTTAATTGTTCTGATTTCAAAGGCTTGTTGTTGTGTTTGTTTATTATTCTGAAGATAAATTAATAAAAGAAGTGAACGATAAGAAGGAAATAATTTCAATTATCAGCAAATTGCCATCAACTCGATTGGTTCTCGATCACGTGCTGGAAAACATTTTCTTGAATTCCAAAACATCGTTGAGTGAATGAACTTAAAAAGAGTTTAAGAATAGATTCATAAAACTTATTTACTTGCATTATTTATGATTCATCAAAATTGATCGCTTCAAGCATCAAAATATTTCTGATTTCGTCTCGATTAATCATTGGCAATCAATGATCGAAAATTTCTGTTTATTCTCCTCCACAATTTCAATTTGATTGCGTCTCGTCGAGGGCTTTAACTTGTCAATGAATTTTATTCTATTTTTGGATGAAATAAATTGTTGTGTGGAGGAATTTTCTCCATTTTTCTTCCACCTTTTCATTACCAGATTGATCTGATAATCAAAGCTTTAAATAGTTTTTTTTGCGATCATTCAAATCGTTTCTTTACATGCAATTTCTTCAATCAACCGAAAGGCTTTCGTGACATTGAATCACGAGGCTTTCAAACGAGTCTCGATGCGATAATTACCAACAAAGCTTCATTGATTTTCTCTTGCCTTCATTTCCATTCTTCTGTTCATGTTAACGTTCTCGTTGCTGCATTGCAACTACAAGTAAACAACATAACGGCAGCATCGAACAACATCTTGACGACCGCCGTCTGGTGCTGTAATTTCACTTCAGTTCAAACTTTTCCATCAATCTTGCAACGCTTTTATGATGTTTTCGATGTTGCAATTGCAGATTTTTAAATCATTTCTTCTTTCTTCTAATACATGCGAAGTTATCAAATCAAGTTCAGTCATCCATCAAACGTTATGTGTGATGTTGCGAAAGCTCAGAAAAATTTCTTCTCATAAACTGACAAGAATTTCTAGTTTTATCACCTTAATCGACTCATAAACGACCATGAACCACATTCCATTGTCACATTCTAACATCTTAATTTCTACTCATATCAAATGACGTCATAATGAGACGAGATCACGACAGAAAAGCAGAACAATCATGATGCTCATTCAACATTGTTTCAACTTCCTACTCCATTTCATTTCCAGTTCACCTTTCACATATTTTGTTTGGAGCTGTGAAGCAATTATTTTAAATTAAGTTTCCTATTTTAAATCAAGTTTGTTATTGTCGAGGGAATTCTCTCACTGCTAATCTATCCTCAATTGTTTGTATCGTATGACCTTGATAATCATGTAATTAGATGCAAGCACCTGATCCATTAAATATTCATTGAGTCTCGTAACGAAGTTTAGCGATGTGAGATGTGAGAGGGATTATGAAAATATTGTCGAATTTTATAGCGAGTTGAGCGTTTAAAAATAAAATAAATTTATTAATTAACATTAATTGCTCTACTTTTCCACATTATATCGTCGACCAACCAGCATGTGGTTATTTTCTTGATATGTTTTCTTTTTTTGTGTGTAAATCATAATTTCTTATTTAAAATTTCTCTTGAAAGATAAAAATGCGCTGTAAATTTATCTTCGGTTGCCCTCAAATTTAAAGCTTGAAAAATTGAAAATGGAAAATTTATTTCTCTTGTTTTTGCTTGCACGACCGGCCCTTTGGGCTGAGAATCTAGATCTGTAGATTTATTATTCAGTTTCTTTAAATATTCCAGTAAACAACAAAAACTTCTTCACACGCAAAAGGTTTTAGTTCGGAAATCACTCTCAAGGTCGTTGCGATTTGAAATTCAAATTATAATCTGCTTAAACACAGCATTCAACTCACAACAACTCAAGTGACAAGTATTCATTTCACTTCACTTTAATGATAGTTTTTTCTTTACTTTCTTCATTGCTTGTTATAAATTTTATCGCAAAAAAATTGCACGCAAAAAGTTGTCGTTGCGCTGATTTAGTTTTATTGTTTTATGTTCTTTGGTTAAAGCTTAATTACCCATTAAATGATACTGATTACGGAATGAACAAAGGTTGATAATATCAACAATTTTCGTTAGTAAAATCGCCAACATTCATTTGAAACCGTTGCCGCGACGATATTTTTATGAAAGAAAAAAAAAGTTTTCACGGCGTTCCATTTGTCAATTTTACTGTTTCGGTCTTAAAATTGATTGCCGAAGGGGAAATATCAAGTAAAATTTCCTGAAGAAATAGTAGAGAAAGAATTAATAACCGGAGTCTCAAGCAGTTGTTTAATTATTTTTAAAAATTAATTGACACGCTTCATAATTGGTTTTTCGCGAAAACGCTTACACTTTGCCAAACTGATGTCAGTGAACTGCAATAATGCGAAATATTTAATTGAAATTTCATCAAACTTCACTTGGCGAAAGCATAACGTAATAAATTTTATGAGATTGTTGTAAATTTGCTGCGTTGTCGGTTTTTTATTAAACATATAAAGTGGATAAATCTGCTCTGTAAGTTTACTGCTTTGTTACAAGATATTCTAATCTTGAGATTTATATTCAAATAAAAGACAGCCCAAAAGGAAAGAATTTCTAGTTTGAACAATGAATGAGGTTATCTTTATTTTCTCTAAAGTACCAATAAAATTGTAAGTTTATCACTTAAATATTAAAAATATCTCAAGCGGAAATGCGGCAATAATTTAATTAAAAAAAATTGAAACTTCATTCGAGAATAAGAAAAACGAAAAAGAGAAATTGAAAATCATTTGCGACCCACGTAAATAAAAGTTCAAATGACCAAAAGGTGTGTAAATTGCCTTAGTTCTCAATTGGTTTAGACTTTGCTCTTGAAACTAAATAATTTAATGCTCAGACGCATCACGTTGGCGGTAAAATATTTTCATTTCTATAAAAAGAAATTTAAGCGATAGATAAATAATCTTTAACTGAAAGTTTCTTTCAGACAATTGAAAATAAGTAAGCTTAACAAGAATATAAAATATTCACTCATAGACCACAACAACAAACGCACCAAATGCTTAAACTCATTCAAACTTATACTCTAATAATTGAGGTAAGAAGAATGGAAAACTTACGCCGTGAATTGTACTTAAATGTAACAAGCTGGAAATTTCAAGCTGAGAAATTAAAGCAATTCATTAGGAAAAAAATGGAAAGTTTTTATTTCGTTACTTCTGTTGTGTTGCGAGCAAAACGAAATGAAAGAGATTGAAGTTGGTGAAATGAAGTTGCTCATGATACGATAAGTAATTGGATTTGTCGGAAGCTCTTTTTTCTATTTGGAATAAATCATATTAAGATACAAATTCATTAAAATACCAGATCAATGACCTTTTATTGAATGTAAAAAATCTTTATTTAATTACTTTTAACATTACTAATAAAAATTCATTAAAACAAGACATAAATGATAATTTTCCTTAAAGAGATTCTTCAACGATGACTCATTGCTTGATTTGTATTGTATTCTATTCATATTTATTTATTAACTCATTGTGAGAATCTATTTCTATATATAATTGTAAATTGTTGAATTCAACACTTACTGACCTACCTAGGAAGCATAATGGACGGAATAAGCGATAAGATCATGAAATTAATGACAATCTATCTAAACGAAAACGTGCAAAAATGGCAAATGAATTGTGCTCCATCCCCAAGATGATTTGCTTAAACTGTTGTTCTCATCGGAACTGTCGTCTGTCTCAAGGGAACGGTCGTTCTCATGTGCTCATGTGATCTTGGCGGTTTCTTAGTTGACATCAAAGCATAAATGATGACAATAACCAATTCGAAAACCACGAAAACTGTAAAATAATGAAAATGTTGAATACTTAAGCATAAAAAATGTACACAAATACAAACGCACATGACCAATATTTTGTGTAGTCGTAGTCGTAATATGATCGTCTGTCATTTGGAAAACAGTTGTAACATGGACCTTCACTGACACGACAAAGATTTCTATGACAATTTATCATAGAATTTATTCCCATGATCACCATAAACACAAGTGTCCCAAATACTACTCCATTTAATATGCAACTGACGATCAGCAGCGAAGTGAGAGCTTTGAAGACGCCAAGTAAAATAAAAATTGCTACGATGATGCGGACACAATAAAATAATTTCCATTGCCACGGATAAAGTATGAATTCTCCCTCACGAAGATCAATAGTTAAACTTATGAATTTATAAATATTCCACACTAAATCTATAATTGCTAAAGCAATTACTGCAATTTTAAATCCGTGCAAGCAATTTCTGGAAGTCATTTTCGTTTCGAGCTTAACGCAAACACTGAGAAAAATATGTTTTTAAAAATTCAACAGTCGCTTCGCTCTTTGGGCTTATTCATCAGCATGTGTAAAGCACAAAGTCGCTCATGCGCGAAGGTTGAAAATACTATGGGACGCAATTTGCGAACTGTGCTGTGTAACCGCAAGCAATAGAGAGAAACTTCCAGTAATGGGTGTAGAGCAGAGAACAAAAACAGGGCGTGTATTGTACAAAAGAAAAAAAACTTTACAGTAATTCTGGTTCAAGTTCAATCAATTTGAGTGACATTAATTCATATTCATCAACATGCATGAATATATCAATTAATTGATGGTCCAAAATATTTTTGGTCTCTGCGAAAGCCCTGGAAAACTTTAATTTCATGACACATACCACTAACTTTTACTCAAAACCGGTTTTACTTCGAAGCCCAAAGCTTGTGATCGTATCGTTTGGTGCAATAAGTATTCTTCTCCCTTTCCCTCGCTCTCTTGTGTAAAATACGTTGGCGTTTTATAATGCATTCAACAGTTATTAAACTACAAACTTACTTAGGAAAGGTTTGAGTGTGTCAGAGAGTTCATGAATAATTAAGTTTCAATGTGGATAAATACAAAGCTTTTACTTGTCATGTTGATACTTCCTTCAATGATTCCATAATTTATGTCTGGCTGAAGAAGAAACTTTAACTTTACATCTTGGCATCTTTTGATTAACTTTGTAAAGTTTTTATACGCGTCACGGGATAATTTTAAACTTTCTTTTGCTACTGAATTTGAATGGAGAAATATTCGAAAAACAGGCACTTAGCGGTTGATTAATATTTATTTTACTTTTCAAACATTCTCTTAATTAAAACCACAAAAATGCTTATGAATGTTTACCCTTTATTGCTTACATAATCATTAACCGATCAAAGAAGACTCCCTTAAAAGATGTCCATAAATTAAATTCTCTTAACCAAGACCTCATGTGAAGAAATAATTTCTTAATGTCATGATAATTTGAATATATTTATGAATTAATAAAACTTTCCATCTTTTTCAGGTGACGCATCGAGTAACCGGAGAAGTGATGGTGTTGAAAATGAATCAACTACGATCCAATCGACCTAACATGTTGCGTGAAGTTCAACTTTTGAACAAACTTTCACATCCAAATATTCTTAGGTAAGTTTTTAACATTGTAAAACTACAAACTGAGCTCGACAGGTTGTCACTAAAATAGTAAACAAGAAATAAGTTTAGTTGAAGGTTTCTGAATAATTTCATTTTTGCACAAATAAATAAAAAGTACTTGGGCAATTTTATCCTTCAATTTTTTTCTTTGCTTATTTCCGAGCATTTTGTCAATATTTAGTTAAAGAAAACATCAGCATTGACATCAACAAGGTCGCATAGAAATGAATTACAAAACGCTTCTATTGATACTTCATGACTAAACGAAGGAAAATGCAAAATTGTGAATGTCGCTCATAAAAACACTCAATTTAAGAAAGACGCTTCATTGATGGCAAAAAAAAGTAAATAAGTTGAACATTTCACGTTTCAAGAGTTTTAAGCAATGTCAGAGAAAATATTTACGAGTCCATTGTTCTATGAATGTTAATGAAGATTACATCGTGTACATATTTAGCAATAAAAATCATCCACACGACTTTTTATTGGCTCAAAAACATTTCTGTGAGTCTTAAAAAAAGAACAATAAATGTTAATGATTTTATTTTGGGATCAACGTTCGTTCCCTGAACGTGGATTTTATTTTAAAAGGATTTTCATGAAAAATTTTAAATAAAAATGTGGATTCGAATGTGTTTATTGATGATGAGTTGTGGACCAGGAATCGAACCAGGAACTTGACGCTCAGCAGGCAGAATCGAACTGCTGTGGTTTTCACCACCTACAAGTTTGAAGCTTGCACCGTGAACCATCACAGATCAGCTGAGCGATTTTAATTTTGGCTTAATTAACTATATAAACTTGTTTTGAAAACAACAGAAAAAAAAAATAATTAAACGATGAAAAAAGTTCCTGTAAGGAAAATAATTGCAAAATTTTAATTTAAATTATTCAAATATTTCGCTTCAATTATCTTTAAATTCAAATTGATTTCAAATCAACAACATCATTTGAAATTCAGCTGACTCAAAGGTCACTAATGACGTCTTGCTGTCACGAGGATAATTAAAGAAGCGCGTGAAGTATCGACAGCGAATTTTCTACCACGCCAAGCGGAAAACTGTCTTAACCAAATTTAACACCCATTTAAAGCTTTAGAAACAAAACAAAACAGATTCACATTGGTTAATGTTCACTTCAACGTCAAAATTGAAATTCTTTTTTGCTTTGTTTTCCTGTTTTTAATAACATCTCATTTCAAACCATGACAGTCATGCTAAATGTTATCGTTAACTTACTTTACAATTATTTTTGTTCCTACGAGAAAATTTAGAATTCTCTCACAATTATTTTGCTATATCATTGGAATTGTTTTTGTTCTTCTAAAACCCAAGCTGAGTGTCGTCATGTGAACAAGTTTCTGGTGAAATTCCAGAGAAATAAAAATTTCTTACGCCTAACACTTCTCCAATTTCACGCATTCTCGCTTAAAGTGAATGAAATAATTTTTTTTCTCTTACAAAGTCAGTTGGTTTAATATTCGTTGGTTACGACATTTGTTTGTTTCTGTTTCTGTTACATGCTTTCTTTCATAGTTGCGGCTTTCTTCCGCATTGGAAATTACAAACAAACAAGACAACTGCCCATTTAAACGTCACTGATTAAAACGAGGAGAATTCTGCGTCTGAGTGTTTATCAGCAACATTGAAGCTGATAGTAACAAGCAATAATAAACACTCAATTTAATCAGTAGTGACAACGTTAGATTGGAGTCACATGTTACGTTGAAGTCTGTATCACATGGTAAACAAATTATATTTGTTGCCTTTATGAAAGTGAGAAAAATATAACTAAATATTATTGTTGAATAAATATTTGAAATGGCGGCATGAAAGAAGACACACTTTTGCAGTTTATATTGTTTACAATTTTTTATCTAAGATTTGTACACTTGGCATCATTGCGGATATTTATTTATACAGAAAAACAGAAGCGAAATAAAATATTTTCAGATTTGAGATATCAAATCAGTTGATGTTAGATTATTTAACAAAATTATTGCTTTAAAAACTAGGAATATTTCTTACTCAAGATAGGAAATAAGTAATGAAATCATTTCCTTAATTGAACCAACAACGATGCATGAACATAATGCAGTTTACGCAACTCACGAAAACAGAAAAATGCTGAAGCATCGTTGGCATGCATGAAAAATCACAAACCTTTCATTCAGTAATTGAATTATGTGAGCGTGTCGAATTGTTTGAATGTCGTGGGCCGCTTCGAAGACACATCACATTTCATAGTGTTGAACCTTTCATATCGCAGTTTAATTAAATTAAGTTGAAGGCTCTTAACAATTCCGACAAAAATAAAGAATTTTATTGTGGAAAATTGTAACCAATTTATGGAGCGCTTGTTTCATCTGACTTCACTTGAATAAAATGTTTTGTAATGCAATTTGATCGAATTTCCAATTTACAACAATGATTTGGAAATTATGTTGCGACATTGACACATATTTTTATTTTCTTAACTTCAATGGTAACTCTTCAGACGCATCATGACGCAACCTTAATCTGTGTTGTCTCCGGTGTAAGCCGCTGTGGAATTTTTATTGATCTACCTTCTTCTCTACTTATCGAACAAATTTTTTTCTTCTTTTATTACCATTTGCGGAGTATCTAAAATGTTCCGACTTTGACAATAAAATGCCAACGCTAATCTGTAACGAGACACAATTAAATTCAAGCTACGTTAAAATGACTTTTAACACCTTGTGATAATTCCACAACCTAATAAACTCTTTTCATGATGAATAAAAACAAAGAAAGAAAATAAAATCGACGCACACAAAGGCAAAACGAGATAAATTGATTAAAAAACAGTTGAATATCAATATCAGTGAAAGAAACATTGAAAATCAATTAAGAATGTGTGGCTTTAATTGCGAGGCTGCAAGTTCATTCGAACTATTTTACTTTTCCTTTATGCAAACTTCATGCCTGAACCCGTTCAGTTTTATTGGAATTTCTTTCACGTTCCACTGTCAAAATGTGAAGACAAAATGTTGATTTGAAAAATATCAGTTTGCATGTGTCAATGCGCGGACAATGGAAACAGACAAATTAATAGACATTCCAATGACTCAAGAAAGAAAAAAAGCAAATATCGATTTAAGTCGACAAAACTTCGAGATTAACAGTCATAAATTTTGTGGTTTGCCACTTCCGTCAATAAATTTCAGTTGATAGAGAGTCAAATGGAAATTTCCTTGTAAATGATTGTGTAATGTTAACAGATTTGAATAACAATTACTCAGTGAGATCATCGAGACTATTACAATCTATTATATATGAAAAAATCACCACAAACAACAAGAATAATAGCATTAATATAAAGTTATGATGTCAATTACGAAAATAAATAGCTCTTCAAATCGAGGGTCAAGTTCATATGATGAAATTGTTACGAGATGAAAAACAATTTGTCTCTGTTTACTTCTTCACGAAATCTCCATTAATTTTATGAATATTATTAAATCTTTTGAAGTAAGTTCAGGACCTTGAAAAATTTATTGGTTGTCATGATTACGCTTATCAGTTTTCTTTTGTGAATGTTGCTTTACATTCGCCGCTTATTTTATTTTCCATTTCTTGGTTATCTAAGTGGAAGGTTGAACAATAGGAGAGAATTTATTTATAGATGAAATGTTGTGCATTCATCAAGTTTAGGGATATAATATGAGTCATCAATTCATGAGAATGAATCATCTTGTGGGAAAACATCTGTTGGAAGCATTTGCTGTAAATTATTTACGAGTATTGTCATCGTCTTTATTATTACTATTTGTAGTAGATATCTTGCAGGTTTTAAAGCATTCCATTTGCGTATCATAAGCTAACTTTACTGATAAAATTGACGTCACTAATGATAGCAAAATGATAAAGTTTAAATGTGTGTGAATGGAAATGATTTATTGATAAATTTATCTTGTACTTTAACATGACAGATGATTTTAAAGAACTTAAAAGATTTAGGAAATTATATTGAAGAATAAAAGTTTACCGCAAAACTCATAAATCAATCAACTTAGCGAAGATTTTAAAGAATTTCTTGAGAGACAAAAGTTTCTTCAAGAAACTTGAATAGAAGTTGATGACTTCACGTGACAATGAAATGCGACTTTCTCAACGAAGGCCTTTTCATAAATTTATAATCTGATTTGATGCGATCAATAAAAAATTGACAACCAGAGTAAAGGTTAAAGCAAGCGAAATGTTCGATCGATAAATTCTGCTTGTGATTTTTTAACTTTACAAAAACGTCATCGTTTGAAAATTTTCTGCTATTTTTAAATATTTTTTATTGAATTATCAGAATGACTTGACTTGTTAGCGTCTTTTTAATTTTATTAAGTAAAAACAAACAAAACGAAGCATTTGCGTAATTCAATTCAATTAACGTTTCTGCGATAAACTGACAAAGATAAAAACAGCAACTCGATTGTTGCTTGTTGCAAATCGCAACCTTTTTACCTGCACATAAAGTGTAAACTTTAAGCTCAATTCGTGCCTTTATTGCTACAACAATAAATTTCTTTAACTAATAATCGCTTATTTTATATTTCAACAGCTTTATGGGCGTTTGTGTCCAAGAAGGTCAACTTCACGCCTTGACTGAGTACATACCCGATGGTTCACTTGAACAGCTGATACAAAATAAAGCGGAATACCTTTCACCAGCTATGAAGATCCGATTAGCATTAGGAATTGCCAAAGGAATGAAATACGTTCATGAGTGTGGCGTCTTTCATCGTGATTTAACTAGTAAAGTAAGTTTAACTCAACTTTCATAAGAAATTTTACTTCAAATAATTTTTCTTATCTGCAGAATGTTCTTGTGAGAAAGTCCAACGACGGTCACATGGATGCAGTGGTTGGAGACTTTGGATTGGCTGCAAAAATCCCAAGAAAAAGGTAAATTGACTTTAAATGTCTTCAAAGTTTTACTAATCTAATCAATGAATTAACAGTGGGAAGTCTCGTCTTGACACTGTCGGAAGTCCTTATTGGATGAGTCCCGAATGTCTCAACGGCTTATGGTATGATCAGACAAGTGATATCTTCTCTTTTGGCATCGTTCTTTGTGAGTTAATTGCAAGAATCGATGCTGATCCCGACATTCTTCCACGAACTGATTCATTTGGACTCGATTATCTCGCGTTTGTTGATCTCTGTCCCAGCGACACTCCACCAGCCTTCCTTCGAACAGCGTTCTATTGTTGTACTGTAAGTTAACGAGTTTCTTTTGCTGCTTTTCTTTCAACAATAATAATTAATGAAACAATCTTCCATTTCCCATCTCCCAGTATGATCCGAAAAGTCGCTACACATTTGCAGAGTTAGTTAAGAAACTGATGCTACTATCGGATAATCAGAACGGTTCAACAACATTAAATAGTAGTACGACAAACAGTATTAATTCAAGCAATAACAGTTTGAACGGCACATCAAACGGCTATCAACAATTGCCGACAATTGTGAAGAATGTTTACAACAAAAGGAATTCAGTTGACTCACATTTTGCTTCACATCAGCCTCAAATGGGAAAGATTTATAACCAGTCGATATCAGAAACGCCGCAAAAATGTCAATCAAGCGAGAATGATAATGAATTGAATGCAACATTGGCACATCGGAGGTCGTTAAGTGAAAATGTTATAACATCGCCACCTCATACTGTTCCAGCTGATAAAGCGCGTTGTCACATGTTGAATCGAACTGGAAGTAAACTACAAGAAGAAGCAATTAATGAGACCAACACAACATATTCAAATGTGACACTTCGTAAGGTTGCTGAAACGATGTTCCTTAAAGATCCACAATATAAACCGCGTCCCAAAGAAGATTCAAAACCGAATCCATTTGCAGCACTTGCACAATTGCGTGGTGTTAAGAAAATTCTCGGTGCAAATGCAACAACTTACACACCAGGTGCGGGTGATTTATTCAGTTCTTGTTTCGAAATTTCATCGCCTTTTCTAAAGAACCTTAAAGAATTGAATTGCAAACGTAATCAGCTGACATGCACACACACACATCAACCAAAGAGTCTACCGAATTCACCATTGTCAAGTCGAAAAGATTATGCGATAGAACATCTCACTGGATCAGTTTATGAGAATGTTCAAGATGGAAATAAATGCAGTAAGAAGTGCTTTGATAAACTCCAAAATCATCCGCTTTATCAGAGCGGTAAACATGAGACTGAAACGAAAGTAGTTAAATCAAATGGAGAAACAATGACGATACCAATTCTCCCAACGATCACAACGACAACGATTGGTGCGTCAGCATCACATTCGTACACGAAACTTGTTGATAAGATTGAACCGTCACTTATGGAATCGCCTATGACGACAGGTACTGTAGGATCGTTTTATGAGACGCCACGTTTACTCACGAGACGTGGATCAACTGAAAGTGGATTCTTTTCATGTCTCAATGAAGATTTTTGTGATAAGACTCGTGATGTTGATGTGATGATGAATCAATATTGTTGTAATTGTTGTCCAACGTCATCGACACCAGAGAGTAGTAAGAAGGATGATGCGTCGAATGATTCGTCTTCGATGTCTTTGAGAAGTTTGGATGACTTGGAATTGTCGCAATCGCGATTGAATAGACGAACGAATTGTCCACATCGTCAACATATTGATATTGATACACGCTCGATTGACATGGGTCTCATCAACAGATTAGCTTTGGACACTGAAATTAATTCTTTAATTCAGAAACATCAATTTTCCAATCAATTGTTCCATTGCAAGAATCGAACGTCGTCAATTTATTCAGACAGCAGCGACAGTCTTGCTGGATCTGATTCACTTTTATGGGACGATCGATCTTATTCGATTCCTAACACACGATCAGCGCAAATTGCAAAAATTGTTGAGTATTTTGAGCGAAAAGGTGCAAACTTTAAAGCGCCGACTTTTGCAGTACCTGAAATCAAACCATCGACAAGTTTTGTGACGTCGCCTTCAAGAAATTATTTGCCAACATCGCATTATCATCAACATAAACAGTTGACCGACTACTTTGTGGACCTAAGAAGAGATTTCAACGACATCACAAATTCAACACCAACGACAAGTGGAGCTGCCGGCTTTGCTGGCCTTTCAGGGCCTTACAAGAGTCAACGCGATTATGAGAATTTCTGTTTGGAGTTTTCTGATAAGAAATCACCGCAAAACTTCCATAAAATTTGTGAAGGTCTTGTGAAGTCAAAGTTACAATTGTTTGATAAACTCAAGCAAAACAATCAACAAGAGAAGTAAATAAATAAACAATTTCATAACTAAATTAATCATAATAAATGTGAATAAGCTCATGAATGATAAATTTTCTTCCAAATATTTCATAAAGTAAAAGTTGCCAATATTTTATTCCCGAAAGATTCTTTTTCCTTTATTTTTCTTCAGTTCCTTGAGTCTTCCCAGAAGATGTTCAAATGTGAAATATTTACATACAAACAGCGATTTTGCTACGTTTTTAAGACCAAATTTAATGCTTTTTTGGGGAAGAAAATTATTTGAGAAAAAAAAGAAGTTAAATGTGAGAAATATTAAAAAATATTTAACTTGTTAGTTGTAGCAAAAAAATGTAAATTTTTGAAGATTTAGATTCAAATTTAATATTAAAGAAGACGATTGGGATGATGTTAAGGAAAATTATTCAAGTTTTATCGATAAATGAAGAAGTTTTTTAGTGAAGTTTACAATCATCAACTAATATTTATTATATCACAAGCAACAGAGGCATCAGATGAGAATTTGATTAGGAATTTACTTCTTGGGATGACAATTCATTTATTTTCATTGATTTCGAAAAAATTAAACTTGCAATTTTGACATAAAATAAATGAATTATCGAATCCTGAAACTGATGCTGTCTACGTTTGAAACAAATATTTTAAAAGAATTGTAAATAATTTGAAGGGACGTTCGTAATTTCCGTTTGATAATTAAAATCAATTGAAAAATTGATTACGAATGCTCTCCAAATATATGTGGATTAATAACACTTCAAAAAACATCCAAAATAAATTTTTTATCAGATAAGATTGTCGTCCTTCACAAATTTACGTGCACCGTCCTGATAATTACATTAAAATAATTGAATGTTGTCTTTGAGAAACTGAAAATGAAAAACTTTCATCAGACAAAAACTCCAAGAAATTAACTTAGATAATAAAATTGGCGTGAAGAAAATTGTTTAATCGGAAATTAATAGTCAAATTTTACAGAACAAAATTTCTCTCGGTGTTTATTGTAATTGGAGATTATTAAATGAAAATTTTGAAGAGATTAACTAAATTATTTACACATTTGTAGATTAAACATATCGCAGAAAAAGAAGATTTTGGCATGGAAAATGCGGAAAAGGATTAAATAAACTTTAATTAAGTTTATTAAGTTAGTAATCATTGAAAGTTTTATCAAATTCAAGTAATAAATTGTCTTCCCCTACTTTCTATCATCGACATTCTAATGAAATTTAATAAGCAAATTAAATTTTCAAATCCCAATCAAAGATCTTCAGTGAAACATTTTAATTATTTATCATCAATCTTCCTTCACTTTGGTTAGACTTCTAAATATTTTAAGGGACATGCTTGCAATATATATTTTTGATCAATCATATGTAGATTTGTATGTACTTTTAATGATTCTTTGCAACGCTTCTTTAAATTTAATTTTTTTTATTTTAAGTTTCATCAACGCGTTACCAAAAATAAACTGCGTACTAATAAACATAAACTTAGTTACTAATTATTTATCACTACTTTTTGTTCAGATAACTGATGATATTTTCTTTATAATGTCCAATTAAAGTTCTTTCTTTCAATATCTTCAAATCTTTTAAAATTTGTTGATTCATGAAATGCCAAAAAAGTTTTAACATAATTTTAAATACGCGATGTATCGTGGGTGAAATGGAAAGTTTCACCTAACGGATCGATCGGGACGTTGACTGCAATTAAAAATGGAACCTAATGAAGCAAATGAATATATTTAATTAATATTAATATTTAGTTAAAGTTAAGGTTTAATCAACTACCGAATTTTTGTTTCGATAAGAAAGTTGAAATTAAAATCCCGGCGTTTCCTACGTTGCTGATTTTTTTGTGGCAACAAATGTAGGATTTGTAATGAAATTTATTTAAATTTCGTCTTTTTAGAAAGCAAAAAAAAATTAAGAAAGAGAAAGATTTAAAGAAAGGAAGTTCATTGATTAAGAAATATAAAGTTGAATGTAGAAATGGAAAGAAAAAATGTTTTTTTAAGATAAAACCCAAGAGAAAATAAAAGTGAACATTAATTAGAAATCATAAATATTTAAATACTTGCGAGTTTTATTTCACTTCAATCTGTTGCATGTTTCAGTTTAATTCGAGAATATTAAATATCATCGATTACATTGATTTCTTCCTCGTTATTAACGATGAGAAATGATTTAAAGAAAATAACTTAACTAAATAGAACTTTATTGCCTTTAATTGATAAACATTATCTGTCTAAGTAAGACGCACAGCACAGGTAAGCCATCAGCAATTTCACGTCGATAAACTTTTTAAGATTTACAGCAAACAGTAAAAGTGCGATCGTAAATAAAATGGATCAACATTGAAGTTCAATGTATTCTTTGAAAGTTATTACTTATTGAATGGAATTTCACTACTTAAATATTAAAAAATGATTCCAACAGATGTAACTTAATAAGAAATGGAATCATCATTTCATGGATATTTTTTTCGCAATTGTTTAAGCTTTCTAACTCTCCATATTACGATCAGATTACTGCTGATGATGCAGAAAAGCAAGAGGAAGAAACACATTTGCTATTTCGCAAGAAGAAAAACGCAAAATCGAAAGTGATGAAAATTCACATCGTAAATATAAAAAAACTTCTGCAAAATGAAGAAAGTCTAGCAAGCATGGAATGTTCGTAGTTCGTTCGAATGGAAAGAAACAGAAGGAGAGAAACGTAACACTTTAAATTTGCCACACATGACGCGACTGATGGGAAAAAAAGCCGAACGAAATTACGATTTATGCAAATTACCTGAAAATGATTTTCGGATTTTCTCATCGATCTTGAGGTTTGAGTTTAACACACTCAAGAAGAAAATTCAGATGAAAGAAATACGAAGTTGAACGAATGAAAAAAGCCATAAGTTTGACCTAAATTCAATCGTTCATCCGATAAAATGCGAAGCATTAATCACCACAGACGAGACCTTTTTTCTCCTTCTAAATTTACTTCATAAAATCGATTTTATTTATCATCAAACAGCTGAAAATTTAAATGTTGAGACAAAAGACTTTCCTCGTCTCGTGCTACGATGCTGACGCCAGACAAAAACACTTTTCACTTCGTGTTGAAGATTTTATAATGTGATGCAATTCTATTCACTTCATACGAGAACAGTCGAAGCGAATTTTATGTTTTTTTTTCTTTTTTGAATATAAAATAATTTATGACTATTCATCATATTTAAAGATTGTTCTCGTAACAATGAAATTACCATAAATTTATGCAATGCACAAATGTTTCAATTATTAGTGAGTCTTGTGTCTCAATAGTTTTGGTTTTTTGTGTGCCACACTTAATCTTCATTAAGTTTTTACGTCACAGCGGTAAATGATCGCGATTTATGGAAAAAGCAGCAACGACACGATCATCATGTAAAATGCAGTCTCATTCAGCAAATGACGCTCGCTTTAGGTAGTAAAATATTTAATTAGATGGGTTCGTTTTAATGACTGAGCATTCCATTGATATGACATTTTGTTTCTCATAACTTGTCCGGGCGCCTTGCCAAATTAAAGCTTTGTGGCAGATTTTAAAAAATGTCACTGATTTCACGTTTGAGTGACGAGTGAATTGGCACCGAAATCATTCTTTATGACATTCTTATGTTCAGGGCTGTTAAATGTGCAACAATTTCGAGCTAATTATTAAATACGCGACGATGATTAACACTCAAATGAATAAAAAAGTAAACTTTTAACATATCTAGGTAATATCTTTTTGCGTGACACATTTCTTCGTTTGTGTATATGATGAACATATTTCAAAAAGTATAAAAACATTGAGGAGAACGCCTCCACACATTTCTTGCTTCTTCAAAGTATGAAAAATACAAGAAAACCGCTGAACCACCGAAATAATAAAAAAAGAAGAAATTTCAGCGCTCGAGTTTTTCATGAAAAAAATTTTACTTTCACTGCGTTGGTTGATGAATTTACTTTTTTGACTCATGAAATAACAGAAAGCTAAGTTTACTCTTTTCCTCGGAAAATCAAATGGAAGAAGATAGATTCGTGTTAATGAGTGGAAATGAAATCATAATAAATAACTCGAAGGTGAAATTTAACTTTGTTGTTCAACTTGCGTTTTTATTTCTACGTCTTTTTGATTAAATTTCGTATTTTTTCAAGACAAAGTCGTAACTTAGATTTGTTGTTTCAATGGAAATAAATAAGAATGAAATGCAACTTCGTAGCTTCTACTCGTGTGCATTCATAATATTGAAGCACTTTGTCGAGTGCCATTTTATAACGTTTTGTCGTGTCGTTGATAACAAAATGAAATAATTTCAATGTAACTGAAAATATTCTTTTGATATTCGCCGCTCTTCAGAAAAGATGAAAATTGCAATTTCAAAGCTTGCATACGAAAGTATGTCATCGAATATTTTTATCAAAGAAAATTCGAATTTAATGAAATGTTTCCAATCGTTAATTCTATTGTATTCAATGTTTTTAAATCTAATAATTTCATGCATAATGTAAATCTATAAATTGTAAATTATAGTATTAAGCGTGAAGAATCAACGTTTAAGGTTTTAAAAACAGCGAAACAAAATCATTTTATTACATATTTAATTATCAAAATAAAAATAAATGAAGCAATTTTGATCTTCTCGTCTCAAACATTTGAAACAATGTCTATGATTGACAACAATTTCATCTAAAAATTTCTCTCCTCGCCTCGCTTTAAATTCGCAATTTCACTGGAAACGGTTTTGAAGTTTTCACAGCTTGATAGCTTAGATTAAGAGTTTTTCAGCTCATATTTCCCGTGACTTTACAAAAGTAAAGTCGATTAACTCGAGAAAAAGAAATGGAAAACAGACAAGAAAATTGAAAGTGTCGTGTAGCGTAATGTGGTGAATCATGTGGGGATATTGAAATGGGATAGTCATAAGGAAGGAATCAAACGGTTTTAACCACAGGTTGAAGTCAGCATGCTAAATATGTTCATTGCTCATTATGAAATAAGTGAACGTCACATGAAGTCATAAATTTGAATTTTAAATGCCATTGAACTTGTTGAAAAAATCGCTGATTCGAAATTTTGAGCTTAGCAATTTGATTTCCAATCAGCAGTGTCAAGGCAAACATTGAATCTAGTTTATTATCATTAAAGCAACATTGAAATTTTAATAAATTAAAGCATCGTGATTTTCTCGTTATATCAACCTAAAGTTAAACAAATAAATCATCATCGCAGTCATTCATATAAATTCGTAAATTATGCCTTTGATTTTAGATTGTTCATTAACACTTTTAACAAATTAAACATTGCTGAAGATAATTTCACTCTTCAAGTTTAAAAACTATCGTCGCACTTCCCTTATTTTATGATATTATTTGAGATATGTGCATAATGTGTGTAATTCAGATGATAGATGAGTTTGCCGTTACACAATAATTTAATTCAAGTTATTGTTTATTTAAATTCATAAGTAGTGTTTACAGTGATATGAGTAGAAATTAAGATGTTAAGAATGTGACAATGGAATGTGGTTCATGGTCGTTTATGAGTCGATTAAGGTGATGAAACTAGAAATTCTTGTCAGTTTATTAAACCAAACTACACATTATGAGAAGAAATTTTTCCAAGCTTTCGCAACATCACACATAACGTTTGATGGATGACTGAACTTGATTTGATAACTTCGCATGTATTAGAAGAAAGAAGAAATGATTTAAAAATCTGCAATTGCAACATCGAAAACATCATAAAAGCGTTGCAACTTGCAAGATTGATGGAAAAGTTTGAACTGAAGTGAAATTACAGCACCAGACGGCGGTCGTCAAGATGTTGTTCGATGCTGCCGTTATGTTGTTTACTTGTAGTTGCAATGCAGCAACGAGAACGTTAACATGAACAGAAGAATGGAAATGAAGGCAAGAGAAAATCAATGAAGCTTTGTTGGTAATTATCGCATCGAGACTCGTTTGAAAGCCTTCTCGTGATTGAATGTCACGAAAGCCTTTCGGTTGATTGAAGAAATTGCATGTAAAGAAACGATTTGAATGATCGCAAAAAAAAACTATTTAAAGCTTTGATTATCAGATCAATCTGATAATGAAAAGGTGGAAGAAAAATGGAGAAAATTCCACCACACAACAATTTATTTCATCCAAAAATAGAATAAAATTCATTGACAAGTTAAAGCCCTCGACGAGACGCAATCAAATTGAAATTGTGGAGGAGAATAAACAGAAATTTTCGATCATTGATTGCCAATGATTAATCGAGACGAAATCAGAAATATTTTGATGCTTGAAGCGATCAATTTTGATGAATCATAAATAATGCAAGTAAATAAATTTTATGAATCTATTCTTAAACTCTTTTTAAGTTCATTCACTCAACGATGTTTTGGAATTCAAGAAAATGTTTTCCAGCACGTGATCGAGAACCAATCGAGTTGATGGCAATTTGCTGATAATTGAAATTATTTCCTTCTTATCGTTCACTTCTTTTATTAATTTATCTTCAGAATAATAAACAAACACAACAACAAGCCTTTGAAATCAGAACAATTAAAATCTTGACGTCTTTTGTATTGTATCGCTTATCAAATTCGAATTGTTATCAACTCAATTTTCATTACGAACTCTTCAGCTGTTAGATAATCAAGAAATTATTGTGGACACAATGAAAGAAGCTTTTTATGTCATAAATTGATTAAATTAACAATAAAACGATTCACCTCACTCTACTGAGTTCAATAAATTGACTGCCGAATGGCATTGTCAGCATATTTAGCAACACAACTCAACTCAACTCAACTCCACATTAAATGTGAATGAAGGAAGAATTCTCCACACTCACTCACTCAACATGACTTTGTAGTTAGTGGTTTGTTTATCACATCAGTTCCATATCTTTTGACGACCCATTGGAAGTCTGATAATCATTTGAATTGAGATTGATTTGATAGTCGAATATTCATATCAATGTGACGGTCGCGAAAAGTCAACGAAAACATTTTTCATGATTACGAAAGATTGAATTAAATTGAAAAGTTTAAAGAAGTTGAATCTTTG